GTGCCGAGTACAGGGGAACACTCGACAAACTCCAACATAAGTTTAACCCACTGCAAATGCCTGCAGAAATATGGCTTCATCTAGTCACTAGCAAAGAACTAGAACCACACAGAAACAAAGTTGAAAGCTGACTCAGTGAAACAAAACCTTTTTACTGAGCAACTCCAAAAACATCACGCCCACCGCCAGGAAAAGAAAGGAGGGAAAAGTCTGCATCCTGACCAATTGTCTGCAAATCTAAGTTTCATCTGTCTTGTAGTGTTCAAAATGGGAAATTCAATTTTATTACCAAAACTGTGGGATAAAGGGCTGTTCTATTGTTCACTAGGTCACAATAATGGAAGGGATAGAACTGCAGAAGTATCTCTCTGAGGGATACCACAGCTGAAATCCAAATTTTGCAATTACTTGGGGCAGGCAGTTCAGTGGCAACTAAGCACATTCTCAGCATGTTCCAATTGCTTTAACTGATCATCAGGTGAGATGCTAAACCACATATAGAATAAAGCATTTGAAGACTGACACCTTGTAGGTTTTCATATTTGTAGTAACTGCCATGCTCCTCCCTCCCCTCATGGAGAAGTGTATATAAACTGGGACAGGCAGTGTTTTGTGTCTCTTTGGGTTTATTTGTTTGCTTTTCAGTTTTACTTTTAGTGACTTTTTGAGGTCGGGAAAAACATTAACTGATAACATATCCCTTTGAGATGAAGTCAATATCCTGCAAATTCACCTAGTCACTTCAGAACAGGGGTGGGAGGGACCACCTGTGACACGGTAGTTTTCGGCATCAGACTGACTTTTTATGCCAACTTAATTCACAGAATCACAGAATCACAGAAACACTAGGTTGGAAAGGACCTTCAAGATCATCAAGTCCAACCATTAATCCAGCGCCACCATGTCCCCTAGACCATGTCCTGAAGCGCCACATCCACACGTTTCTTGAACACTTCCAGAGATGGCGACTCCACCACCTCCCTGGGCAGCCTGTTCCAATGCCTGACCACCCTCTCAGTGAAGAAATTTTTCCTAATATCCAATCTAAACCTCCCCTGGCGCAACTTGAAGCCATTTCCTCTTGTCCTATCGCTAGTTACTTGGGAGAAGAGGCCAACACCCTCGTCGCCACAACCCCCTCTCAGGTAGTTGTAGAGAGCGATAAGGTCTCCTCTCAGCCTCCTCTTCTCCAGACTAAACAACCCCAGTTCCCTCAGGAATTCATGTTGCAAGCTCAAGTCTTTGCAGTTCACTGCCTGTTCCAGGTTTTAACTAGCAACATGGTCAACTATCTTTCTTGTATCACTCAGGCTCTGAGCTTTGGATATCTTTAAGTATTTCCTATCAGCCATATCAGGGTTTTGACTCACAAACAGATGGCAGCAGCCTGGGAGATAGATGAGTGCCCACAGCTGTCTGCCCTACCCTGCTCAGCACAGAAATGGCTGAGCTGTTTGTAAACCAGCTGCTAAACTATTGCCTCCTACAGAGGAGCAATCTAGCAAACAGCCACCAGTTCTAGCTCCTCTTACAAAGAGGTGCTCCAAGCCAGATATTTGCGCAGTGGAAAGGAACACTGGACAGCTAAGGCAGTAGCTCATTTCTTCCAAGCTCTTACTTCCTCACTTGTAAATCAAGGCCCCTGCAGTGTTTTGTCAAAATGTATCACTTCGCTAGTTACTATTTTTTATTTCTCTGCCCAGAAAGAAATACTACTCTCCCCAGTAGTGTTGGAAGACCTGCTTTATTTAGCATCCCTGTGCAAATCACACAAAGGTACTAAGCTTCCCCCGCCCCCCTTTCTGTACTGAAGATGCCAGGAGATACTGACTCTTAACACTGAATTCTCTGATTGCTTATTTGGTACAAATGCTACAGATATAATTTCTTCCATGGAAAAACATGATTGGAAAATGTGAGAGGCATACCTGTAATACTGTACCCCCATAGTATTCTAGCAGGCAACACTTATAAAATTATGCTGCAGGACCTTAGTGGTACTAGAAGGCACCAGATCAGCAAGTTAATGGTACTGCTTCTAATGTCAACACAATGATTAGGAGAAAAGATACCATCCCATATCAGATAAGACAGCTTTTCATGCCTTAAGCAGGTGGTAAGCAGAGACTGCCCAAGAAGACAGTGAGGGCTTGTACCCAGAGCAGTGCTGTTGTACTGAGCTTAGTCAATCAGGATGGTGCCTCTAGTAATGGAACCACATCTAGGAGGGAAAAAGATGATGCCTTTGCTACCTTCTTTTCTTTCATTAAGACACCCGATTGTTAATGTACAGAGAAGAGCTTGGCTGACTTTTGGATGAAGTAGGAATCATGTCCACACAGCGAACATGTCCATACAGATCTGAAGAGCTGTAAGCAGCAAGCCAACTCTGAAGAGACTAGGGAACATGAACATGAGGCCTGTGTATAGGCTGAAACACAACTTGCTGTGCAATTTTGAATTTATTCAAACAAAACAGTGCGAGTTCTTCATATTGGCTTGGTGCACTTCAGCTTGTTCAACGTGTCTGCTGGTAAAAGCTACTAACTTTAAACTGATAACAGGTTGCCTCACAACAGGTGAGAACGACATAGAAGAGATCCTGGGACCTGGAACATCATGCCCAATAGAGTAGTTTTGGGCTAATTCCCATGAGCCACTGCTTAGTGAGAAACAGTGAAATAGTTCCACTTTGACAAGGGAAAGGGGCATACACAGTTCTCTAACACCCCATCCCTTGGATCAATGAGCTCTGTGCAAGTTAGTCACTGGACAGCTAAACAACCATCCCTCAGAGGCAGGGCCAGCTCCACATAGGACTTGTCCTGTTCCATGAGCTCGTTTGTAAGCAGTGAAGATGAAATCAGGGACTATATTTGTTCTCCCTGCCCGGTCATATCTTTCTATAGATCCCAGGCTGGGCCCCACTTCCTTGGCATGGATCCTGGAGACTAGTAAGCAAAGGAGGGCATAAATCAGTGCCTCAGGTTCTGTCAGGAGCACATCAAACCAACCGTCCATGCTGGGAACAGGTGCGCTGAAGGCAAGCAGGGACACTGTCCCTTTTGGAGTAGTGGCGGGGGAGGGCTTGCAGTAAAGCTGCTCATTTCTTCTCCCAGAGCCTAGTCTAAACTTTTGACCCTGCAAGTGGGTTATTTACCTTCTGCTGCTCACCAGTGCAGTCAGCTACAGACTTTCCACTAAACACCAGCCCGTGTTAGCTCAGGCCCCAGCTAAGTCTCTTCAGTTTCTGTAGTCCATTCTACTTCACTTTTACTTTTGCTCTCACTCTTATTTCTCATCTGGTCCATTTCACTCTCTGCTTTGACACGTTCACTCCAAAGCTGAAGTATTTCAGGGACTGTGCAGAACAATTAGTAAACGAAGACAATCTTAAAAAAGAGCTGTAATTTTTCACTAGTAATTTTAAGAGTCATCTGTCATGAAAACCAATGCAGACTTACAGCAGCAAGGAGCATGTCACTAATCTATGCCTAATAACCATGGGGTGGATTTGCAAGTAATATTTTAGTTTGAATAACATTTTAAGCAAGCATTGCTTCTGAAAGAAGCAGTCCTACCCTCACCTCCTGCTGTCATCATCCCTTCTGTAAGTACCAGAACAAGCAGCTGTGCAGTGAAACAAAATCAGGGGGCATATCCAAATTAAAGTTCATTTTTTAGCCCTTTCTGTTATTTTAAGTTGGACCAGTTCCCCCCGGTCGGTTCCACAGCACAACCACAAAAATGTTTGTGCCAGCAGAGAGCAGGAATTGATGTCAACATAAGAATACTGGCACTGGCTGAGCTTCAGGGTGATCAACCTTGCTCAACATATATTGCTCTATACAGTTATAATGATGTATGTAACCAGTAAAACCATACACTGAAGATAAGGCTGTGTAAACAAGACCCCACCCATGCTCCCATAGTGAAAAGCAATCTGTTCCCTAGCTCAGGGAACAATGGCCCCACAGGCGGACAGAAACCTGCAGAATGACTTGTGAAGTGCTCCATGTAAAGCTTCAGGGCATGGTGCTCCCATGTTGGGGTCTGCAAAGATACACAGATTCCAATGTAAAAGGAAAAAAAGCAAGCACTGATTGGGTAGAAAGAGGGCTGCCCTCCACAAGATCCTTGCTAGTGCTTTGAGAAACAGTTTTAACACCTTGAGACTTTTAATCAAATATTGTGCACTCTCAGCCTTTACTTTGCTTTTTAGTCACAGAAGTACCAGGTGGCTTCTTCCAATACTGAACTAGAGAATCCAGACCAGACCAGCATTTTTGTGGAGAAAATCAAGACAGAAATTTTAACTGTGGAATAAGTCAAAAATCTAATTCAAAATCATGTCTACCACCTAAAAAGTTGACTTCTGCTTGCAGCTGCAAGTCCGCACTTCCCTGCATTCAGGGCTGGGTATCTAGCTAGCTAGCTGAGAACCAGCCACAGGTGAAAAACATTCATGGCAGGGCTATAAGAAGGCAAACTACAATGAAAGGGAGCAGCCAGAGAGGTCTGTTTTCTGCCCATCTTAAGAACTGAAAAGTGTAGATAATTAACATACTGTAGGTGTTTGCACACCACCAGCAGAGCCATTCAGGGGCTGAATGTCTGTCCTTTAGCACCAGCTATGCATTTTACCTGTTAGGATAACAAGAATGTTGGAGATAGCAGCAAGAGATACCATAAAAGATAGACTTAGTCACACTGTGAAGCCATTATATGATATCTATCCAAAGATAAGTTCAGTAGCATGCCCAACTCTGGGATATACCTTATGGATACTCCCCTGAAAAAGACATCTATAATTCTTTCTCATTTGTGAATATTAAAATCTTCACTGATTTTCCTAAATACAGCTTGAAGCTACCAACTGCATCAACCTGGGAACACCTGAGAGAAAAGAGTTCATTCAGAACATCATTTGGTACAAGGCAAGTGGCCTGCATAGGGCAGGCTGCCTGGAGTGTTGTGGTGTGCCCTTTCTTTTGCCTTACCATACATCTTGCCTTCGTCTGACAAGATAATCTTCCGCCGTCCACATGGTGGGTAGATGGCTAGCGCTTCCTGGAAGCTCTGCTCAATGTCCGGACTCCACACACCCTCAGCGTCATTGTCAATGGGTTTGTCCAAGGCCTCGCTGCCCCCTGAGTCGTTGCTCCCCTCAGGGGAGGTGGGAGAACTCCACTCGTTGGAGGTAATGGTGCCAGCTAGAAACTCCAAGGTGCCAAGTGGAGAAGGAGACTCAGAACCTGTGATGACAAACACATCCCATTTGTCAGTCAGAAATCCTCCTCTCTAGGAAAATGAGGAGATACTAAAGAAAAAGTTTAAAAACCTCAGCGAGGAGGTTTTTTACTTCAAGTTTACCTTAAATGGCAGCTCAGCCACATGCGTGATTTCTATTTATATTGAGATGAAATCCTTTTATACAAATCCTTCTGATAAAACCGGCTGTTCCCCTATCTCTTTAGCTCTATCACTTCCCAATTCCCTTCAAATGCTATGTCTTCTTGCCTGTGTCTTTGTCTCCTAATGACAGCGGAGGGAGAAAGAAATTATCTGTGTAACTGTTATTTAACTTTCTGAAGCATGCATACAAGGATTCAGTCCGTGTGAAAGACTATACAAAGTAGAGCAGTGATGAATTATCTAGTCATCACAGAGCACTGGGGTTGAAATTTTCTTAAGATAATGTTTCACTGGATTAGAGTTAGTAGTCGGTGTCATTTTTAACACTGACATTTCTTCTTCAAGGATCAGCTGCACTTCTAAAAAGCAATTCCTGGAGCCAGACAGTTTAATGCAGTGTCTCCCAAATCTCAGCACTACATCCTGGCAGCCGCAGAAGGCACCATGAGTAAAAGCATAAAGGCAGTAGGTTGCAGGTCAAGAATCCTAGGCACTTAAGACTGTTTCTACTGCTCATTTTCAGAATGACCTTGGGCAAGTTCCTTCAGTTCTCCGTGCCTCTTTGCCCCCTCATCCTTTACCAGTCTCAGGCTTAATAGGCTTTGCCACTGGGCAGGAGCAGAAATTGGTTACTCACTGAACCTATCAGGCAGCCGCTTGCTCTTGAAAACTACAATAAATTATAGTCTACTTATACATATATATATATAGTCTACAGTAGCAGCTGAAGTCATTGAGTGGAGCTGCTAAAGCATGCAGAAAGCAACTTCAAACCATACAGACACTTCCAGTCAGCCATACAGAAGACAAATGGCTTCTAAAGACACAGATCATTGTCCTGCCTTAATCCCAAAGCTGTTCTTTTCCCTTTTCAATAGTTTTCCTTATCTGAGCTACAAAGAATGCTCACAAGCCACCATTCGAGAATCCAGTTAAATGAGAGTTCGGAACTTCCCTGCATATCACCAAGTTGAGCTGGGTGCCAAGAAAATCAGAATTTTTTTTTTTTTTTTGTAAGAGCCACAGGATCATCAAACCTGTACTGAACCAGAAAGGAGAGAGCTCTGACATGCCAAGTCAGACCAGCTTAGAAATATCACATGAATATAAAGGAAGACAGAGAAGAAATTTGGGCTCAGTCTATGTCAAAAACTAGCTAGAACAACATTTGTGCAGTTATACCATGCCCTAGTTGGTAAATAGGAAAAGCATTTTTTATAAGCTTTATTTTTATAAAGCTTATCTATCCAAAGATAAGTTCAGTAGCATGCCCAACTCTGGGATATACCTTATGGATACTCCCCTGAAAAAGACATCTATAATTCTTTCTCATTTGTGAATATTAAAATCTTCACTGATTTTCCTAAATACAGCTTGAAGCTACCAACTGCATCAACCTGGGAACACCTGAGAGAAAAGAGTTCATTCAGAACATCATTTGGTACAAGGCAAGTGGCCTGCATAGGGCAGGCTGCCTGGAGTGTTGTGGTATGCACTTCTGTCAAGAGACAGAATGTGAGCCTTATCTCACATTGGTCTAAATCAAGAGAGTTGTGGAACATAAGAGCAATGAGAGAAAAAATTATATAAATCTTGAAGTGACTAGATACTTTTTTTATAAAGCTTTATAAAGCTTTTTTTTATAAAGCTTTAAATAGGAAAAGCATGTCCATTCATTCAACTTCAGAAGTTCAAAAATTCAGGGCTCATGGCTCCAGAAACTTTTCTGACATCAACTTAAAAAAACAGTACATCATACACTCCTTTTTAAGTCTCTCTCTGATTCCTTACCTCTTTGGATTTCATGTTTACAAAATCATCTCCAAGACCATAACAACTACATGATTTTTTTTTTAAAAAACACCTGAAATTCTTAAGAATTTTATCATTTCAGAAGCTGAAGTTGGAAAAAGAGTTGACAACACTGGTTCTCAGAAGGTTTCACTGCTCCTTGCTGACTTTAGACAGCAGCAGACACCTACTTTACATCTCCATATCCCACCAAAAGCTCAGGAAACAAGTAAGATAATACCGGGCATTTAAATAATTTCTAGACACAGTATACTTCTTATACCACGGTGTAGCATTTTAACAAGTGGTTCACACAGACATTTGGAAAACCCAGTATACAACTTATTTCCTGTGAGAATATTTGGAACACATGAAACACTGTAATGGCCTACCACTGTCCATCCATCCATTTCAGCCCCTACATTAAATTATTTCAATCCTTTTGACCCATGCTATACATTTTCAGAGCTCTAATGAACCTGGGAAGAAACAATAAAATGGGAGGTGAGGGAGGCAGAAAGGGGAACTTACACTTGGCCTTTATCACTGGCACAGACATCCCAAGCACACTGTGAATGGCACCAAATGCAGGGCAATGTGACTTTAAGAGACCCTGAAATGAACAGTAACCATTGCTTCTGTCACCTAGCATCTATCACCAATACATCCCCTTTCGCTGGCAGATGTTCAATAAAAAAATTTACATGAGTATTCAAGAGATTGTCCCGCTTGGACACAGAGGATGCTACTCCAGCATAGAGGAGTAAGCTTTCCATAGGGGGACTCTGACAGAGAAACAGAAGCTATCTGTTCCAGCTGTTCTTCTTTTGATATTTCCCCAAGCACCCATAGTCCCTGGGGGCTGTAAAGACCCTCCATATTTAATGCACATTAAAATCTCCCCAAACACATGACACAGACTAGTTTTAACTTAGGCTGAGAGACTGAGAAATGGAGGGGTTCAGAAAGAAGCCTAAGGTGTGACAGCAAGTGTATTCATAACACCACCTGCAAGTCTCATAACAGCCAGCATGCTCCACACCAAGTGAAAACATGCACTAACTACTCAACTGTATGCCTCCCAAAAGCCATGGTCACTGGAACCTACAACCTCTGCTGTCAAGCCAAATCCCCTAGCAACACATACAAGCAAAGTCATCTCCCTAGGGAATGTATGGTCATCAAACCATAAAAAGCACCTACTTTCAATCTAGTTATTTTCATCTCCTTAATGTCCATGCACAGATAATTACCTAGCAGATGATTTCAACATGGTACACTCTTACATTGGAAATTAAGCAACTTATCTGAAGCATAACTTTCCCCGCCCCTCCCGCATCCAAACTCTAGGAATTGTCTGATCATTTCATGTTTTACAGGTTTCACATCTGCACCAAGCGACTTTGGTGACAAAGGAAACTATGGCTCCTTGTGATCCAAGATCCTCCAGAATAAGTGGAAGAGTAAACATGCTGTATTCAGTTCAGTGTCAACTGCCAAGACTCTCTTCTCCAAACATGAAAGAAAAGTTGCACCAAGTTGAGCAGATGTCACTTGCATGCTCAGGGTAGTTCACAAAGCAAGAGACAGAATGTGAGCCTTATCTCACTTTGGTCTAAATCAAGAGAGTTGTGGAACATAAGAGCAATGAGAGAAAAAATTACATAAATCTTGAAGTGACTAGATACTTTCTGTTTTGTTGGGGTTTTTTTAATGCTTCTTACTTTTTATGCCTTGACCAGCAATGTTAGTCCTATCCCAACCTACAGCTAGGTCAGCAGGCACTGAAATGTGCTATCGTGGCCAATGCCAGCTTTTCTACGCCTTGGAGCCTGATTCTGCTTTCCCTTCTTGACACTAAAGCTGTTCTGGATGGATGGTGAGAAAAGTGGAATTGTATAGACTGTAAAATCAAGGATGTTTTGCCACATCCACCTGAAACCTCAGTAATCACCCAGACACTAACACAAATTGGCCTTCTTTTTGATAACTTCCAAAGAAATTCCATAGACTGAAACGACCATGAAAATCCTTATAACTCTATGTCTCTAGTTCAGTAAGATGCCAAGGGCTTAAAGGGCCTGCAAAGTTTTCTAAAATCATGTTGCTTAAATAGTAAGCTCCATCTGCAATCCCAGGGAATACTCTGCTCAAAGGCAATGAACAGTAATACAGGGAGTCCTGATCAGGTGCTATCTGGTCTGTGAGTATCTTCTTTGACTGAACACTTCAGGCCTTCTGTTTCCTGCACAGTTGATCTGAACTCTGAATTCACTGGTGGCCAAAGTGACCATTTATTAAACTAAGGAAAGCAAACTGTAGAGAAGCTGGGGGCTAAACTCTATGGTAGATGACTTTATTAGTATGGCAAGTTGAAAAACTGTGAGTGGAATTACTTTCTATTGAAAAAGCAATTTGGTCAAAAACAGAGCATTTGAATGCGTTATTTATGAGAATGGTTTGAATAATATTCATTAGTAACTTCTTTAACAAAATACAAATGTTTCAGTATAGATAGATAGATCTAGTTTCATCTAGCTTTGTTTACTTCTGTTTTCCCTTCAATCAATACTGACTATACACATACAGCTTGGTGACTTTAATGGCAATTTGTATTACTGAGTGTTCTAACATCACTAAATATTTTAGTACTTGTAAATTATCTTTCCATTTATTTTTTATTTTTTTAAAGTTCTGCCTGTGTAAGCTTGTAATCACAAAGCTTTCTTCTGCTGTGGAGGGAATTTGATTCCGAAATCACAGACATCCCAGTTCCCAGGCATGCTCAGACAATTCCTTCCCCATCTGCATCCCCTTTGCCAAGCACAGTTCTTGGGATCAGAGGAGTCAGAGGATGTCCCATTCTCATAACAGGAAGTTTTGCCAGAGGTCCCAGGCTTGGTGTTTGTTCTCTTCAGACTGCCTCAGTTTGAACTTATGCTCTGCTTCTTGGCACTCATATTTCTGGCATTGTACCTTACAGTTGTTCTTATTCTGATCCCACTCTTATTTTATTGGGAGATGATTAACTGCCTTTCTTTGTGGG